CCGAGTTGAAATACCCATATAGACGCACACACACCCAAACACACACGTACACACGTGCACACGTACGCACACACACACACACGTGGGTCGTCACAATATGCGTTTTTATACGTTTTTGCTGTGCAGCGCTATAGCGAAAACGCATATTGTAGTGAGGCTGTGTGTGTGTGTTCGGAAAGCGAGTGCATTTTGTCACCTACTTTCATCTCAGCAACCAGGAAAGCTGGGAGGCTGAAACTTTGGACATATGTTCCTACCCCGCGTATCATCCCCCCGTTTTAAGATCTTTCCGCATACGCGCCTAAACCTTGCGTACGGGACTCCCAAAGAAACTTGTTGGCGGGAAACGATTTCGCGAACCAGGTTACGTGGAGGGATGAAACTTTGCCGGGATATTCTCTATGCACGTACGAGATAAAAGTTTTAAACTCAGCCCTCTAACTCCCCAACCACAGCCTCAAGGGGCTCCTGAACCCAAAAATCGTAAGCAACTCGGACCTGAACCGCAATTGTGTATGCAAATGAACATGGATTTTTTGAAAAACGACCGTTCGAGCAATGCTTTCAACTTTTCAATGAACTGAAAATTTGCATATTTTCAGAAGATTCGTTCGCAGCTCGGACCTTAACCGCAATCGCATATGTAAATGAACGTGCATTTTTTGATAAACGACCGCTTGAGCAATACTTCCATTTTTTTGGTGAACTGGAAATTTGCATTTTTTCAAAAAATTTGCATTATCATTTTTTTCACAAAGCGAGCATTTACCGAAAAAACGACCGGACTTCATGCAAAAAACCGGTAATCATGCACCCGGATGTCCGTGCGGCTCCATAACGCACCACCTTCATCCCAACTGACGCCCTTCCTCCTGCATGCCGGAAAGGATCAAAGCACGGCTAATATGAGCCCAAGTGTTAGGCTACAGCGTAGAGGTCATTCTTGCTAATAGCGATCTGCGAGTTTAGTGCAAAAACGCATGGACACACCGGAGAGCCTGGTGCGTTCCAGCCTCGAAATTAATATTATTGGGGTAAAAGTATTTGGTGAAATGAAGTTTGTTTAAATTAGTGCGACAAAAAATATGAAAAGTAGAAAATGCCGGCTGGCCGGCTGGGAGGATCCATTAGTCGATGCCTATTATACAATTTCCATATACAT